TCGATTAGGTCTTATTGACTTCTATTTGTAAATTACGGGGTGTTACAAGCAAGGCCAATGTGGTAGCCGATGCTTTGGGTCGAAAGCCTATGGGGAGTTTAGCCCATATCACCATTGGTAAGAGACCCTTGGTGAAGATGGTGTATGTGCCAAATTTGGATGGTCTAACGAGGAAGATTCTTGAGGAAACACATTTGTCGTCTTATGTAGTACATCTCAAATCCACCAAAATCTACCATGATTTAAAAGAGATATACTAGTGAGAGGGTATGAAGAAAGATGTAGTTGAGCTTGTGGCTAAGTGTTTAGTATGCCAATAGGTTAAGGCGAAGCATCAAAGGCCTGCAGGTTTGTTACAACCCTTACTTATTCTCGAGTGGAAGTGAGAGCGCAAATCTATGAACTTTGTGGCAGGGTTACCTCGCACTAGTAAAAGGTATGATTCCATTTGGGTCATCATAGACAAATTGACCAAGTCCGCTCATTTCTTACTAGTAAAGGTTACCTATGGGGCAACCCAATCTGCAGGGCTATATATTAAGGAGATAGTGTGATTGCACGGGGTTCCAATTACGATAGTCTCAGATAGAAGTACTTTGTTTACTAGTCAATTTTGGGGTAAATTCCAATAGGCTATGGGAACCAAGCTATTTCCTATTTTCTTCCTCACCAAACATTGTACTTAATCTACCACTCAGCCTTTAAGGGGCATTCTAGTTGTAGTCATCTCTTTTATTGTATGCTCTTGAGTGGTTATACTTAACTGATTAAAAAGGTAGTATCTGAGTGGTTATACTTTAACCAATTAAAATGGTAGTATTTGAGTGGTTATACTTTAACCAAAGTAAAAGGTCAAGTAGTTGTACTTGATCCATAAAAGGCATTGTATTGTTAAGTTATGCTTGATCCATAAAAGACATTGTATTAAACTTGATTTCAATAGTGAATTTAAAACTCTTTAGTGGATATAAAGGAAAAGATGAAGGCAAGGAGACCAAACTTCTGTAAAAATCATTGTGTTGATTTTCTTTCTCTTTTTTCACAAACTAATTTGTGCACTTAATTTCTCTTTTTTTCACTTATTTCAAAAAGACAACTTTTTATTTAAGCAAACGTATTTTCTCAAAAATTTGAAAGAAATTTCAAAATATACAAAACATTCTAATTCATTCCCTCTCTTGAAATTGTCCATAATAAGCTTATTACACTAGCATTGTGTATCTAAGTGTTGTATTGAATCTTGAGTATATCTATGCCAAGGGTATTTGTTTGATCTTATTAGCAACCAGATATATCATATTGATGTGTTGTATCTTTTTCACAAGAGAGGACCTGGACATGTCAGAGCTCTTATGTCCTGCATGTGCCAAACTGTATCACTACCACGCAAGATTAGGTTTTTTTAACCAAATTTCATTAATGAATACGTTCATGATGCTTTTAAAAAGAGAAATCAACAGAAAGCTAAGATGATGAAGTTTAATCGACTAAGTTAAATGGTTAATAGACTTATAAACAACTCTAGAGAGCTCAAGTAAGATGAAAACTACATGAGATAATCGACTAATATTATTAGTATTAAGCTCCTCTAACGAAGTTGCAAACAATTAGTATTAAGCTCCTAAAATTCTTCTATTAATATTTGATGTTTTCAAATAATTTACTTAATACTTTAAGTGCTCATCAAAGTTTTTTTCTATACATATTATAGTTAATATTTGTGCCACAATGTACCCTCTGAACCCTGACGATTTTAAACCACCCAAAAACGAAATGCATGTAATTGTAGCCCCAGTTTTCGACTTGTTTCTTCTACCATCTTTGCCATTTATGAACGTTGGCGCCATCTTTGAGCAGTGGGGGGTAATTTCTCAGATGGACCGCAGGGAAGCTTCTGTCCAGTCTCCCGTTCAATTCTGTTCTTGAGCTCTCTCAGTATCCGAATTTGCCCCAGCTTTTCAGGAGACAATTTCTCCCAGTAGATCCCTGCAAACGGAAGAAATTACATTGATTTTTAGGAGAGACAGTTTCTAGATCAAATTACTTGTAGGTGCACTGCTAGAAGCCTAGACTCTTATAGAAACATCTCCAGCAGAGAAAGGCAAAATTACTAAGGAGTGGGACAGTGTTCAGGTACTTCAGCTGAGATCATTCTTTGGGAAAATCAACACTTAAGTAATGCCATTTTTCCTTTTTTAAAAGGTATATTTGTAGCTAAAGCAGAACTATTTGTAAGTAAATATCCATCATAAAGGTCCATCCCACTTTTGTACTTTGCACTAGTCAAAAATTTTCAGGGCAAGAAATAAGCTAGAGGCTATCAATTGATCCACCCCCTTAGAAATAAATTATGGCAATGGTAAAGACCTCAAATCAAAAACAAGAGAATTTAACAAACCTTGAGGCTTCAGGATTGCTGTATTGGTAAAAATAACTTGAGTAGGAGTACATATGATGTCAACAGGGACATCATGGACCAACAGTTTCTCAACTGGAATGTCATCCACTAACTGACAGTCATGCACTGTAATGAGTAACAAGCAAAACATAAACACAGAATGCAACAAACAAGGTGGGAAAATTGTCAAATAACTAGTAACAAAATTTTATGTTGAGAATAATGTATGGTGAGCTGATAGAAGGAAAAGTCAGAAAAAGACTAAAAAGATAATAATTGGAAGCCAAAAATAACATGTCATGTTTTTGGACCTGCAATTCACAATTCACGATCCTCGGTTTGCCTTAAGATGACACTTCTTGATTGTTAACAAAAATATCAGAGATAAAACAGCAGTATGTATAATTCAACTAGTACAGATGACAGGTACCATTCAAGGAGGTTCACAAGGCCAATCACCTTAGATCATCTATTGGGACAAGCATAAAGAAATAAAGAAATATCCAACAGATAACACATCTGCAATAGTTCAACAACCTACACATATGACATAAGCATAGGCAGTACAAACAAGACATCCAGTGAGAGTCATTCACTTTTCAATGAATTTGAGTGCTAGAAAGTTGCAGATATTTCTGAATGTTTCAATAAGTTAGAATTCAAATTATTCTCATGTGGTTTGAGAATGTTCAAACTCATAACAAAAATCAAGATAGTCACTTATGGCCAAAAACATTTCCAACAGAAACCTGAGGCTCGCTGTTGCAAATTCTACTTTGAGCACTCTTGTGTGTGCCCTTATCATTTTAAAAAGGGAAACAGTTGTTTGTTAAAATTTCTAACTTCAGTAAAAGATAGATGACTGTACATACCTGAGGTGACCACTGGCGTTGACTCATCAATGGCTCCCATATACTGCAGCATGCCATATTCGAGTTCAGCAAACCCCTGCAGCCAAGTCCCAAACTTTTCTCTTAAAGTAAGAAAGATTCATATGGCTTCTGATAATCTACCATCCCAAACCCGGTATAGCCTACAACAAAACCACACAAACCTTCTAGGTTCAAAACAAAAACATTTAAATTTGCAATTTAAAACTCTCAACAAATTTATATGCTAAAATATTGGACCAAAATTCCATCTCACACAGACAAAATAAACAAGTTTCCTTGATCTGCTGAGGAGTTTATTGGCTTAGTATTGTTTCAATTAGTAATAGCAATTTGGGAAGGGTAATACAATTATAGAAATTTCAGAAAGGTAATAACTTAAACATCAATAAAGTGTCAAAGCAATGTTGAACCATAATATAAAAGAAGAATGGTGATCAATTTGTTCAATCCATAGCAAGACAAATTGCCTTATTAGCAGCCAAGAAAGGAAGCAACAGAAAATGCCAGTCTGAAAGTTATTTCTCTTCAAACTGATCAAGTATGATTCATTCATCCACTCATTATTGACTACCAGATGAGATAACAAGAGAACAAATGTTGGCTATAACTAGAATTAGCATGTTGTCTTATACAATGCAGTAACATGAAAAATATATATTTTTAGATGGTATTTTCTTCCACAATGAACCGTAGAAGATGATAAGTAAAGTCTGGAAACAAAAAGAAAAGGAGTAATGTAGCAAAGATAGGACGGATCCTTACCTCTCCCTTGCCAAGTCGAGCCCCAGTCTTTGGATCTACAGCAACTGAACCAATGACAATCAGATCTACCTTGATCTTTTCATCCAACCCAATTGGCCTTCCATACTTTGCAACCCCAAGGGAAGTACATGCCTCATTGATAGTACTAGGAGTTAGCTTAGAGGATTCAAGCACCGAAAAGAAACCAGTTCTCAAACGAGGTTGGGGAGTCAACAACTTCTTGCCATCTGTGCATATATAGCGGTAATATATTCAGCTAAGAACATAAGTTGCTCCAGCTCCAGAAAAAATTGTTTTAAATGTCATGAAAAGAATGTCGGATTCATTTAAAATAATTCCAACCCAAAATACACACCCAAATAAACCCCCTGCTATTATCTCTCTCAAAAGTCACCTTGCAAATCGATGCATCTATTAGCACTTTTAAGGAAAAACACTGCCCATTACTGCAATTGCTGGTAGCTCTATAATTATCAATTGAAGACGAAAACTACAATTCCAGTTAACCTGTTAACATTTCTTCCACACATATATAAAACACATACTTAAATCTTACAGAATCCGCAGCCTCACATGCTTAGAATTTAGAATTGCATGAAAAGGCAGCCGATTACATATATACACTTCCTGTATGATTAAAACATATAAAATGGAATGCATTTGGTTGTTATAGGCATACCACATTCATTATTTTGAATAAACTAACCAGAAAGAGTGAGAAACCTGACTTGCTTTTGAGGCGAATCCGGGTTTACCTTCACACAATTTGCCATCCCAAATACCTGCAGTTCACTCAACTGTCCGACCCAAAAAAAAAAATGATATTTCTCATCAACCAAATAAAGCAGAGAAACCTCAACAGCCTGAAAAGCTAGACTTTTACATTTTTGGCAGCAGCAGGTGCACCAATAAAGTTGGGGATCCGATGGTGAACGGGTCTGGGATTCTGGGCAATATTCCGGGCTTCCATTAAATCCCAAGTCCTTTTACGGATGACCCATTTCCAAGCTTTGGGGCCATCTTCTTCTTCTGCAAGCACCTCCATCACTCTTTTGGAAGTCTGGGCCATTGAGTCTCGAGCCTTTGCGTCCAGTCTCAGCCTCTCAGCTTCAAATGCCGACTCGTCGAACTCCTTAGCATCAGAATGATAATTGTTCCTGCCTTGTAGTCCATAACTGATTGAAGGGAAACGGCGTTTGAGCTTTTGATTCGTGAAAAGGTTGCTATGGTTGTAGGTAAACGGAGCTGATAATCGGATCATATTTGAGTCCATTGATGGATCCCAAGTCAGAAGTGTTAGTATGCATGCATGCGTGCCTTTTTTGACGGGGAAGTGATGACAGAAGGTGATAAGGATTGGACGGCTCAGATCCGAGCTTGAACGTGATTAATGTGATCAACGTCAGCTTATACACTTAAAAATTACTACACATGAGAAATCATTTCCAGGCCAAAAGAAATGGTGTTACATGCAGACTATTAGAAATGGTGTTAGTTGACTTTTGTGGTACCCATTCTTGTATCATATGTTGCTTGTGAGCTAACGTACAACCTGTATGAGAGCATTAATGAAGTGGATGGCACTGTGTTAGCAAAGCTTCTGCAGCACAAAGCTCGCTCCCATTCGTCTTTGTTGCGGTAGTACTCGGCATCGACAAGTGGAAGATGATGTGGATGAAATCTAAAAATTCGTCTGGATGAGGGTGAAATGCACAATTTCCCAGGACAAAGTGAGACACAAACAGTCGCCGGCGCTTGTCAGACTAAAGCATCGTGAGAATATCGCTTTCTTTGCGCTGTGGGAGTGGTGAAACAGATTCAAAATTACCAAAACTAACCAGCCCCTGGCTGTGTTTCTGAAGCACACTGCAGAAGCATAAATGCCACAACTCCAGTCTATGAAACAGAGGAAAGCTAAGCGAGTTGCCAAAGCTCCAATCCAAGAAGATAGCAGAGGAGAGAATTCAAGTTTGAATCCAGTATCAAATATTTCTAGAAGGGGGATTTAGAGAATTTAAATCATCTTGATGACTGCAAGGAAACCGCAATCGCATATGACCACTTAGCCTGGATTACAAGAAATATACAACAATGATACAAAGACTCCCTCAACTGCAATTGCAACTACACTTGCTTCTCTCTCCTTTCCTATTCCTCAAAACCGACCATCATCTGCATAATAAAAAATCTACCCAGACAATTTTGGAAACCTACAGAAAAATTAAGTGGTACAGCGTAGATGCACTAGAGAAATGAAGGAAAAAGGGGGCAAAAGTTAAACGAAAAAGTATCCAACACCATTAAAAGCAATTAGAAGAGCGTTACACGATAAGAGAGATAAATGACGACCTACAACCCCTTACAAATATCCTGGGCAATAATGAATCCTTAATGCCAGTACCATTGCAATTCCTTACCATTAAACTATTACTGTGAGTTCTCTCTTATTGTCTGCAACTGAGAGAATGAAATTCGGATTATTGACCCACCCAGCGAGCTTGCATGCTTGGACACAAGAGCTTCAGTGGCTTGCTCCTCAGTTTCAAACATAACAAGGGCTTGCTTCTTTCCATTCATTTCAAAGAGCTTGGTATTAACAATGGTGCCATGTTCCGCCAAATGATTCACAATTTCCTCTTCAGATACATCCTGAGGTAAAGTGGAAAGATGAATCATCTTCGTTGGAGAACAGCAGTAACGGTAGTTCTTTGCAGCATTCCGATTAAAGCGGTTGAGATTTGAGTTCACATATTCATGTGTGTCAGCTCCCTGTGTTATGTTAGGGTGTTTAGAAAAGTTGACCTCCAGTCGCTTCCCAAATAGCATGGCCCCCTGGATCTCAAATTGCAAGTGTCAGTACACAGTAAGAAGGAATTCTAATTCAGCACCATGCATAATCATACAGGCCTCACCAGACAATACTCAACAGAGACCTGATGAGAGGCGAAATGTCCAACATCTAAAAAAGGCGGTTAAAAGGTTCATGCAAACAGCTCACTATTCTTCCATTGTGCATTATGTGTCCAGAGCCTCTCTTACAGAGAGGAAGTCAAAGAGTTAAAGCACAGGTCTAAAGAATGAGGTAACTATTGAGCTTATTGAGGGGTGAGTTTCCTAGATATACCTTGCGACATAAGAGGGGAAAAAAACGAATTCATAGATGTTCATTGCATCATAGAGGACACTGCATCAGATGCACAAAAGAAGATGAAGACAAAGTAAAGAGAAATTCCTCCAGATTATGTATTACTCAGCCCAATAATTTACCATTTAGAACAACATGAAGGCACATAACTAGATAGATTCAGGAACGAGTGACATCAACCCCAGCAAGATCACTCCTAAGAAAACAGCTCTTCTTTATCAGAAAGAACTTGGCACACAATAAAATCAACAAGAAGTCTGTAATTTTCCAACTACATAGGGTCACCTATATGCATCATATTAAGCAACCGTACTCCATTCAGAATCATATAATTTAACAAGCTTCTTGTGAGAATCATCTTAAATAGACCATAATGGTGCAGTATGATAAAGATACCCAACCTCATATGGTGAGGAAAGAACAAATTTTGATTAACATCCAAGAAATAATCTAGATCATAACTCATAATCAAAGAAATGTTAAGATTTCATTTTCAATGAGAATTAAAAATCCAAGAACTGCATTTCGAAAGATTCAAAAGCCAAACCTTGAGAAAGTGTACTGCCAGTTCAGCCTGAAAGCCATCACCCATCTGAACTAGAGCATGATCTGGTTTATTGCGTAGAAGTTTAATTCTCACAATGTTTCCATAAAGTGAGAACAGGTTGAATAGCTTGTCCTCATCTATTCTCTGCAGCAAGATATTAAATGTCAAGCTTGAAGATAGAGGAGTCCATATTAATTTTATACTTCAAAAAAAAAAGGAGGATGGCAACTAGCTTACATCAGGATTTAGATTGGAAACAAGCACTGTACACCTATCATTTGTCCCACTTATTCCTGGAGGCAAACCTCCTCCAAAAGCGGCTGCAATTGCAGCTGCATTAGCCATCTACATTTCATAGAGAAGAGGGGGGAAATCCAATCATTATATGTGGTAGTGTTTCACGGATAAAATAAATAAACAGATTTTTTATAAAAGCCATTCTGCACTTCCCAACAATTTCACATGGTTAACAAATCTAGAGCACCCATGCAACATTGAAATAGACAAACACCCTTCATCGGAATGCAACAACTTTTGTTTCCATCAAAAACCTTAACAAGGTTAAAGGAAGTGTAACAACTGCAACAACAATGTTTAACATGTTTCCTATATTTGGTAACCCCAAAAGTCCAAATACTTCGAGGTGTGGGAGACTAGAATGCACGAAACACAGATGCATATGGCATCCACTAGACGGCATTATGTCCACAATCCAAGTTTGATCAAACCCATTTCTGTTGTCAAGACTATAATGCATATTCCAATAATCAGTCACGAAACCAAAAATGAAAAGGTAGACAGGTTCTGAGACAACATTTGGCATGCAGGAAAAGCAGATGTTTATCACATTCCTACTAAAACAAGAATTTAAGAATCAATAGAGGTTAGTTAGCAGATATCCTGAGTGTTCCCACCAACCAACATAAGGATGATAATACCCCCAAGATTAGAAAGAATCCTCTCATATAAATTTAGACCATGATCTGAGCAATACCCACCTGTGGAAATCCAACTGAAACACAGGAAAACCAAAAAGTGTCAGTTAATAAGGAAAATGATCAAATAATGAGTACCAATAAACATATCGATGTACAAGTACCAAATTAAGCACCTGCCCTAGCTTCATGAGCTTCAAGGGCATACATACCTCCTACATCACCATACCCAGTAGGCTGCATTGGAAAATATATGCAAATTAAAATCATGAAGGAAACAACAGCAAAAAACAACTACAAACATACACACACTCAAAAAGAATTAAGTTGAAAGGAAGGTGCAAAATTGAACACACCTGTGAGGATCTGCCCTTCTGTTCTGTTGGAAGATTTGGGTTTGTGAAATCCCTAAAGCAAGGAGGGAATACAATGCTTAGTAGCATAAAAATGAAAGTGTCAACAAGATATAAAAGCGAGTAAAAGAGAAGCAAGTAGCTGCTAACATATACCTTGATCGATCATTATTGTAATGAACTTGTAATTCATCAAGGCTGGAATGAGTAAATTAATAAAAAATTAATAATCAACAAATGGATTTTTTGAGAAGTATAATCTAATCTTACCTAAAAAATATTAATGAAGAAGTATAATCTAAGAAACAAATGAACTTCCAGGCCCACATGCCCAAGACAAAAAAGGATATAATTGTTACTAGTTGAAAACCTACTTTGAAAACTGTATATCCAGTTGACAGCAGCCATCATAAATGTTACGGCCCTGCAAAACAGCAAGACATTAAACCTCCTTCCAAAAATAAACCATCAAACAAAAATTAAATGAGTTACCATCCAAAGTGACTAAAGAAATAAATAATTAAATACACCTGAAGGGAAGTTCTAGCTGAGACAGCACTTTGGCGCAGTTGATACTGGATCAGGGCTTGAAAACCTATACAGTTTGCAAGAACAAAATGAACAATGGAGGAAAGGCTTTCAGAAAACAAAAACAGTTGATTCAAAGCCATGACCATGTATCTCAAATGTAATGTGTCAACACTTAACAAGAATCACTGCAAATCACTGCAAACACAATAGCAAAATGGAAATATAGAAACTTCACAGCTTTGAAACTATTTCTTATTATGTTGGTCATTAACATAAATATATTTGCAAAGGGCCCTTCCAAAGAAAAAAAAAATTTAAATATCCAATCCATCTATATATTATTAACGAGTTCAGGAGTCAGCTGCAGAAAATAGAGAGATGGAGAGAGAAAGAAAAACGTGAAGCTGACCAGCCGACTTCTGAAATGTGACGATCTTCTCCACAAATCCATGAGGTGAGAAAACCTGGTGTAGCACTTCCACAGTAATAGGATATAGCATATGATGGATTGTAACCAGGAGGATTCGATTCGGCTGTGCATCCAGAGTGTGCCCGATAACAGCCCGCATAGAACAGAAGAGAGAGAAGAGTATAAATGGAGAAGTATAGATAGAGAAGAGAATAATAAAGAAGCGCAGCCAGAGAGAAGAAGATCAAACGAATAAAGAAACAATCACTGAATATGCAGCAAAAAGGCTTTTAAACGCTAAGATTGAAAAGAAATATACAAACTAAGGAAAACCCAAAAGTGAGGAAAAGAAAGTCAAAAGAGATTTATTCTATTTATTTAATACCTATGTACTTAAGGTTAGTTGTGCTACAAAGAAATTATTACCTTAGATTTTCTGCACCCTAAACTGGAAAATATGATGTAGAGAACTAACAGGACAAAGGACTGGGCCATGTTCTTTTTCTAACCAAAGTTTAAATAAGCAGATCATAGTCAATTATCCACAATAATTAACGCCCCAAGTAACTGAAACCAAAAAGGGGAAATGCCAATTGAACTTTCAAACCTTTAAGTGTTTTTTCATTATAAATTAAAGATTCAAAATTTCTAAAAAGAAAATCCAAACAGTATAAGACAAACTCTCGTTCAAGTGCACATTGGAAAATGTACTTCTGATACCCAAAAATTTCGACCACAGAACGGTAGGATGTATTTCAATAAGCACAAAACATGTCTGACAGAATGCGATGTTCTCAAATAATTTGCAAAGGCAAAAAAAAAATTTGCATTATCAATGACACAGCTGAATTATCAACAGCTTATGGTGCAAAAGTGACCTTCATAAATGAAATCTAGCAGTCAACAAGCAACTAACCCATACCCAACCACCAACATTATCAGTAGGAACTTATAAAAGCAGTTCCCTTTCCCACGTCACTTGGTTATTAGAAACAAAAGTTCTGCCTTTCATATTATGAGTTAATCAATCTTTCAGTGATCCAGTATAGAGTCTCTTTCCACAGCAATCAGTCAAGGATTACTTCTCAATATCAAAGTTAAGAAATAATTACTAATGCAGGAGAAGACCACATTCCTTACTTGCACAGCTTTAGAAAATCAAACTGCCTCAAATTTCGTTCAAGTTAAAGTCTTTCTCATAGTCATTTTACTATACCATAGTACCCTCCCTATTTTCAACATGGGGCATCAGTCATCCCTAATTTTGTAGCCTTAGGTTCACTGTGGTAACTTCACCTAGAGATTACTGAATGATCCTAAAAGTCAAAGAAAATATCAAAAGCAAAAACTTGACAATTAATCCAAAAACTCATATCCAGTTCTTTGCTACTCTAAATGCTAGAAATACAAATTGTCTCACAGAAGCTGCATCATTTAAAACATGTTTCTCCATAAAGACAATCACTATATCTCATTTTGTATTAATAACCAAATTTACCAACCTCGTCACCTCGTCCTTGAGCATTCTGATCCATTGTTGTTAGTTCCTGATGGGATGAGAATTGGACATAGACATTCCTCCCCCTGGAACATTACCAAATCATACATAAAGATTTGAAAATAAGGAGCCCAAACAGAAGCAAATATGATACTTTTATACCTAATAGTTGGTTGAACATTAGTGTAGAATTGCAATGCATTGATGGCTGAAGGAATATCTTGCATTTGAAGAAGAGCCTAAACACAATCGAACAGAACAAAGATATAAATCTAGGTAAGGATAAATTCTCAAGTTTAAACAGTTAAACCTACCACAAGCATCAAGTTAAAACCTGATTCTTTGCGCGGAGCATTACAAGCTTTGTTATCACTCCAAATGGCTGGAAAAGTTGAAGCAAATCATTCTGAATGAAGGAGTAGAAGATACATCAGATAACACACATTTAACAATGAAGAATATGCAGTGCAGTTACAAAGCAAAATCCTATGCATTTTCATTGCAGCAAACATCATTTTTATCCAACTTAAAGAATAAAGAGTGCCTTCTGCAGTGATTGCTGCTATCATGAACCCCTCACTAAAATAATTTTCCTAGCTATTTACTTCATTTCCTACTAAATTAAGTTGAAAACCTAATGACCAACATGCATATTTATGATTATCTTATGCATCATAAGTCAGACAACTGACAATTTTCTTTGTTTCAAATTAACCTTCATTTTTGTTATAGTGTTAGACTGCAAAATCACTTTTCTCCATCAAGCCATCCCACAAATTGAGTCACAGTTTTAAACACAACTTTTTACAGGCAGCACAGTGGTGTTTTTTTTTGCAGTAAGAAAACTTTTTTTCCAAGTTTGTTCACAAAAATCATGGTAAGCCAGCTTCAATATTACCCAATCTTCTGTCTACTGATTCTTGCAAGTTATCAAAATACAGATAAGTCTTCTGGCCATATTGTGTGTCAGGAATTTTCCAATAAACTTTGGAGTTTTAAGATGCAAATTACGCTAAAAATTCAACCAGGCCACAAAGTGGAGTACCCTTTTTACTCACTGTGTTTGATACAACAGCACCAATATTAATTTGAATAAGAAATGAAATCAATTAGTTTTCTCAAATGCTTCAAACAGGAAAAATGAATACTAATATAAATAAATATCTTTCATAAGCTATAAACTTGGTAAAGTTTCTTCTCCACAGGCATTCCCAAGGTGCCAAATCATTCTACCAAAGTATCTTTACTACAATATATCATCATACATTTGTGTAAATGAATTAGGATTTCGCAAGCAATCTCACATATAAGTTCCACTTCAATTAGTAGCTTTCCTTTATGGGAATTCATAGATGCACCAAAAGTTTTTAACTTATTCATTTGTTTGCCTTAAAGAAGCATACACTCCATGATCAGTCAAAACACACACACACACATAAACATACATTTTTTTATCTCTTCCAATGCCAGAGACTTAGTGGCATTGCCATAGAAGTTAAAGTGAGCAAAGAGAAAGAGGCTTTACTTCAGAAATTTCGTGGCCTACATTGCGAACATGAATGACTTTAGAAGGTTCCGCCATATGCAACCACCTGTAACAAACTCATCCACTATCAATTATCTTTCATTGCTCATTTTTCCTATCAAAATTACAAAAATCATGCCTGCCTATCCAAAATGGAGCAAATGAAAACAAAATTGAAGTTAGAAAGAAGAAAAAGAACCACAAATTTCTCACTGAAATTAAGTATCTCACTGCTTTCTCCTTTTTTCATGCTAATTCAGTAAATCTAACAGTCAAATCATACAAAATCAATAAAAAAAACTACAAATTAATGCAATTTTATTTCTAAATAACAGACAGAAGAAGAAAAAAAAGCAGAGATGCGTGTGAAAGTCCAAACACAAACAAACCTAGCCTCCGTTTGGTTGCGAAGAAATCGAATGAAAGGTGCGTGAAAATTTTAAAAGAAAATAAAAGACAGAGGCTTTGAATCTGACAAAAAGGAAAACTGATATTGAAATATCTTGATTTTGTTTTAAACTTTTTAGAAACCAAAGGGACCGTTATTTTCAGTTAAAAACATAGTGAGATCAGAGAGAGAGAGAGAGAACTTGCCTGAGAGAGAGAGGAGGGAAAGGAAAGGAGAGAGAGGAAAGAGGGGGATTTGAGAGGAATCAGAGAAGAGGAGTAGAAGTGTTTCTTCGCATGTTTATTTTGCCCTATCTCTTTCGCCCTAAAATACCCCCCGCTTCTCTCGCTGCCCTTCCCACCTCACCCAAATTACACAATATTACCCAAATAGACCACCAAAAAAAAATTAAAAAAAAAAATCGATTTTCTCCTTTTTTTTCTTCCTTCGTGTGACGTCAGAATAATTATAATTTTTTAATTTTTATTTTTTAAAACGTATTTAATTACAGTTAAATTATATCACAATTTTCTAAATTCATCTTTATCATTTTACCTATTTAAATTTTATAAAATAAGAATACAATTAAAAACTACTTCATTTAAAGTTTTCAAATATATATATTTTTTATCAAACGATAAATATAAAATAATAAGAGCTAAAAATTGAAAAAAAAAAACAAAAACTTTACTAACAAAAGTCAAAAACTATAAAAAGAACTGATATTGGATAAGGGAAAAGGGTATTTTCGTTGTGAATAGTCAAAGTATATTTAATTGTACAATATCACAAGCTCACAAGCATATCTAACAACAAGAGTAAACCCCACGTGACTTTGATACGTTGGATGTGTAACTGTTTTCACGTTCCATAATCATGATTCATGAATCCCAAAACAAATAAACCAATTGCCTACTCTAATCTCACAACATTATTGGAAATATCTATAATTTGCATCTTTGTGTCTTTTTCAAGCACAATATTCATGTCTGTTTTTTCTTTTTCAAATATTCCAAAGCCAATAAATTGTTCCAATCTCTACATTAAGACTAGATTTCTCTTTAAAACAATTTAAAAATTTAGATGAAAATTTTAGACATAATATCTAAAAAAGTAGCTCAATGAATGAAGAAAATTCAAATAAATTTTTATTTTTTATTAAATTTAATTATATTTTTATATTTTTATTTTGAACTAAATAAAACTTTTAATTAATGATCGACAAATAATTAATAGTCAAAAAATTCTTTTTCATAAATATCATATAATGTTGACATATCATGAATGATATCAAAATATGTTAATGTGACATGATAATATAATTACATAATATTTTCGCCCTCCATGTCAATATCATAGAGAGGTGCATGTTAGAAAATGCTATCGGCTCGCGTTAACAGGTTTTCCTTTAAATTGAGAAGTTCTTACTTCTTTCGTCATTTTTTTCTTGTGATTTTCTCATACTAAAGAATGGACGATGCCGAACGAGAAGTAAGAAGAACCAGTAGAAACCTATAATCTTTGTTCATTAATTTGATAAACATGCCTATTTATCAAACATCTCCCAAGAGTAAGGTGTAAGGATCATCTTAATATCTTACGAGCTCACATCATCATATCATGTCTCGCTGTGATCATATCTCCAAAACGGCATCTCCATAGTCAAGATAATTCTAATCTACATCTCCGCAAACAATGGGTGCCAAATCAAGGCTTACCCTTAAAGTCATCATAAAGCTAAGCTCCATAGGCACACCATAGTTGCCGAACACAATATCAAACCTCAGTATATAAGTTGCTTACCTCTAAGCTTTGCTTTATATATCAATCGCATTTCAACTTTACATTTATAATCACATGTTCATGTATTATATCATGCCATTCACAATGCACATCATCAATGATCAAACATAATTAATGAATGGTTCTCCCCAGACATGGTCAAATCATGTACAATGACCAACCAACGAAGTCAAATCACACACGATGTTGAAATAATCAATAGAGAGTCAAATCACGCCTAACGTTGGAGCAATAAGTAGAAAGTTTAATCACGCACGGCATCAAAGTGATTAGTGAAAAGTTCAAATCACGCACAACACCGAAGTGATTGGTGGAGAGTTCAAATCATGCTCATCGTTGAACCAATTGGCAAAAAATCAAAGTCATCATTCGAAATCACTCAATGGATGGAATCACAGGACTATAGGCGAGACTTCTACCACCATCTTTGTTTACCACCATCCCTATAAGCAAAAAACATAGCCACAAGGGAAACCTCAAATTAAATCTACATTCAAATTTCATCCATCAAATGAAACATAATCAAGTTCATAGGTCATCATGCCATACCATTCATATATCATATTTCTTATCAACTATTCAAGGCTCAATAACCTCAATACATAAACAATTTCACATCAATTAACCATAGGTTGTATATCTAAAATATAATTGCAATGATCCTCCATTAAGTTAGGCATCATTGTCTATCACCTCTAAATACGTATCACTATTCCATATGTAATTGTGCAACCTAGTTCCCATAATGTAGCATAGCTATTACCATAATTATTCATAGCAACATTCAAAAGACAATAAGGTCATGCATTGATTTAGATGTCTAACAACTAATGCTTCCTAATAACATTCAAATATATGCAACACATTCACAATTTATTTTATATCAAATGATTCACTAACATAGGCATATCCATTTAGGTATAAACATATCAATTAGGTATCATGGCAGTGCATTTATCATGCGTTATGCATCACATGCATTTTCAAACATAAAAACGCCATTCCCACAACAACCAAATGGAGTTTCTCCTACTTAACAGCTAATTGCTAGCTCAGCAACAGGTTTAAGCCTTAATTCTCCCTTACAAATACATACACAATAATTCATTAATTTCAGTTTTCAAAAGTTTTCAACTTTATTCCAATAATTCAAATGAGTTCTAGCACCTCACTAGCTAAACCTTCAGCTTCTTATAGAAATAAATTACATTTCTCATTTTCAACTTCGAATATACATAAAGTCTTACCTTAGGTGTGGTTAACCAATTTCAAACTCCAGATTCCCAACAATTCAAACAAAAAATAACATTTTCACTACAACAATATGGATTTCACTTTACCTTAAAAATGATTTCTCAAGCTCCAATCTACTTCAAACGAGCTCAAAAATGCAATTAGGGCATAAAATTTTAAGAGCAAAAGAGAGAGCTTTTTTCCTTTTCTATTCACCAATAGGCGGACCGCTCAAAGCTTTTTTTTCCTTTTTGTAAATTTTCATGCAAGTATTGATATATTTTCATGAATTCCCTTCTAATATATCGATACATGAGGTAATGTATTTATAGAAATCACATTAAATGCTCTCTACTCGAATGCATCAACAGATTAGGGAAATCTATCGATACATCTTCCACGGAATGCCCTCTGCTTCAAATCTATCGATATATTTAGGTAATTTATCGATAGAAATCACACAAAATGCTCCCCAACTCAGATCTATAGATACATTCTTGAATATTGATAAAAAATTCACAAATTGCCTCTTTATGCTCTTCTTACCATAAATGTATCGATACATTTCATGAATGTATCGATACATGATGAAATGTATCGATACATGATGAAATGTATCGATACATGATGAAATGTATCAATACATTTCCTCCAAAATGCACATTTCCAAGTCCCCAAACTTCCGAAGTCCAATATCTAAACTCCATAACCATGTCCTGCTTCAATATTCACTTCAAATCAACCATGTATCCCAAAAATGCCAATTTATATGTCAAAATTAGGATCCAAGGTTCCTTTAAAACTCAAAATGCACAAATTATCAATCACACTTTGATGTTTTTACCCAACATGATAGTTTATACACCACACTCCACAAACATTACATCAAAGTTCAAATTTACTCGTCAAATGACTTAGACAGCATCACACATAATTCACATTAAAGTCAAGGTGTTACACTAAAATACAAATAATATATACATATATGTATGTGTGTCTGTGTGTGGATGTGTGTGTGTGTGTGTGTGTGTGTGTGTGTATTATTTTTAGAATAACAAGTTAATATATTCACCTTCAAATAGCTTCAAAGTTATGAGAATAGACAGCAAAGGATGAGAGGAAAAGTTTGACAATGACTTTCTTTTTGGTTATCATAAGAGAAAAGAAAAATCCAAAAGGTCCCTTTACTCTTTAATATTTTTGTTTTTTGTCACAACTCTCAAAACCTCAAGTTTTAATAGCTTAAAGCCTTAGTTAAAGCCACGCAAGTAAGTTTTGTCTTTTTTTTTTTTTTACGTTTATTTTATACTTTTAAGTTTCAATCCAAAATAAATGAAAATATAAGAATGGTCTATCAATATAGATATGCATGATATTTAAATGAATCAAATAATATATTTAATGACAAAGTTAGGATTTCACGTTTGGAGAACGAAGACAATTTCTATAAAACAATCATCCTAGAAGTTTACTATTTGACAAAAATATAAAGTAATTTAAATGGAAAACACTCATGTGAAAATTACTCAAATAACTCCAATTACATGTTAAGTATAAACTAAAAACATTTTTTAACTATTACATGGTAAGATTGAGCATCTTTAATTGAGCTTGATGGTATGGAACAAAGTTAAAAACATCTATTATTGAATCAATATCAAAACCTTAAATGATTTCCTTTTCAGTGAAATAATCAATAAATTTATAAGAAAATCATCTGATATTCTATTTCGAGTTTCACAGCAAAAAAATGCACGTTTTAATATTGCAGTGGAAACTGGAAGAATCAAATGCAAGTTGGATCAATCTGTTAACAAGGAAGAAAACTTTTGATATTTTCATCTTCTTCAACGCTTGACATAACTTAAAGAGTGTAAATACATTTTTCAAAGTCTAATTATAAAAAATGTCAAGCTTGAATAGATCTAATTGATAGTTTGAATACATTTTATCATACTCAATAAAATTATCAGGATAATATTTATTTGCAAGATTGCAAATACTTTCAACATCAAACAATTTAAAATCTAGAATCCAATTGTTATAAGAGTGAGTCTATTAAAATTAGTTGTTAATTAATTATTGTAGGGCATCTCACAAAACAAAAAATTATTGTAGGGGCAAAATTATAAAAATTCAAAAAAAAAATAAAATTATGTTAGAAAAATTTTAAAATTTGTAAGGACGAAATTATAAAATTTTTTAAAAAA